GTAACGGTAACGCTTGGGCTGGGCGGGGTATGGCGAGGCAGGGGCGCTCTGCGATCGCCATAGTATGCGCGCGAGCAGCACTCTCTGCCTGAGAGCACCACAGTGGCTTGCGATTCGAGTACAAGCGCAAAGCCCGCCGCGTGGTCCCGGCACCACGCCCGCGCCCGCGCGCGCGACGACGATGATCGACGAGCGACGAGCGACGAGGTCGACGACGACGACGACGACGTTTGCCGCCTGTTTCGGCCTCCGGAGGCCGTTTTCGGGCGCCGTCGACGACGACGACGACGACGACGACGACGACGACGACGACGACGACGTTTTTCGCCTTTTCGGACTCCGGAGCCCGTTTTTCGGGCGCCGTCGACGACGACGACGACGACGACGACGATGAAAACGACGACGACGACGACGACGACACCACAGTGCGCATGCCTTCGGGCACCAGCATGTTGGAGGGGAAGACCCAGACCCCCCCCGCGCACGAGCGGTACCGCTACGGGGAGGGGGGGGGGGGGGGGGAGAGGCCCGGGTAACGAGCGTTACCCCCCAGAGGATAAAAAAACAATCTCAAGTCGTCACGCGATTGTGCGCTAGAATAGTTGCATGGTTTTAGATGCGCGCGCAGTGAACTCTTCCGGGGGGCGCCAGCGCGCGGGGGCGCAGCCTGTCCATTTGGGGCAATGTGCGAGCTGGTGTGGACGGGCGTGTGACCCAGATCTGTGCGCAACTACAATCGTGTTGGAAACTTGTAGAATCCCTCGTCGTCCTCTGTGGTCTCGGGTGCGCGAATATGTATATGGTTTCAAGTGTTGTGGCCTCGGGGGTGCGTGTGTGTGTGTGTGTGAATGTGTGTGTGGTGGTGGGTGGTGTGGGTGGGTGGGTGGGTGGGTGGGTGGGTGGGCGGGCGGCGGGGCGGGCGGGCGGGGCGGGGGGGCGGCGGCGGGGGGCGGGGGGGGGGGGGCGCGCGTCGCAGCGCTAGACGTGGCGGGGCGCGGTGCGGGGTGGGCGGGTGGGGGGGGGGGGCGGGGGGGACTTACAGAACCCATGCCAGACAGCACTTGGCATTCTAGCACTGGGCCCGCTAGCACTGCACTTAGCATTCTAGCACTGGGGCGCGGTGGCGGATCTATGAGCACGCGCGTAAAACTGCAAGGCTGGTTAAAACGACAACCATTAGCGACGAACGACGCACGGCGAACACATTGCAATCGGCCCCGGTAAACGATAAACGACACGCCACGGAAAAAAGCCCGTATCAAACGACGCATTACGGCGCGCAACGCGCAAATGCACAGGGGGAACTTGAACAAACTGCACCTGATAAAAGCATGCAAAGAATCACAAACGCTAAGCGACACGCGACGCGCTGCATCATGCAACGCGCGCGGCTTTTGTTCCTGGTCTTGCGCGCGCGACCCCCGCGCGCAATGCGCGGTCGCAGCCGCGTCGGCACACGTCGTGGCCCGCGTGGGTCGGCCGAAGAAGTTGCGCTGGATGTCTGAGATAAGGCATGGGCCATCTCGCGTCAGCAAGGTTGCCCTCTCGAAGTTCATCGGGGCGGCTCAGCAGGGCGAGCTGCCCGGCGCACGTTCCACGAGGGGCAGTCGGGCTGCCGGGGGCCAGCAAGCTCTCCAGGACACCATGTATGGGCCTGGCACGTGCTATATACAGCTAATACCTTGAAAGGGAAGACTCTGGATGTCGAGATCGTGGGTCCTGCGCCGTGATTACGCGCCCCTGGGAAATGTGACAGATGGGAATTTAACCATGTACTCTGACGAAGCCAAACCCGGCAATCAACTCAAACAGTGGAACAGGAGGGCTACGCAAAATCTGTACATGTGATTTCTTGAGCTCGGTGATGCCGTCCTTTGCAAGGATGACGCCTGGTTGCGCGTCAGGTGCGTCAGACCCGTTGACGCCGCGGATTGCGAGGCTGGGATGGCGCAGCTCACGGGCGCATTCTGCTTAGAATGTTCAACCCAGATGGTCACGACTTGCGACATTCGGGCGTGAGCGTGGGGTACGCTGACGGGAGCGGGTTCAAGTTGCACGCAGTTTTCAGCAAAGCGTTGGGCGACGGGTCCGCCCTTCGCAGCGCTTGGCTCTGCAAGGGGGGCGGGGGGGCGAAGTGCTGCTTGCGTTGCTGCAACATCGTCGACAAGAATTGGCTGGCGGCTGGTGAACTCGATGGGGGCTGCTTATCCCAAAGGTTACTCCAAGGCCTTGCCCTTCCGCGGTTGCGAGCCGACATCCAAGGCGATGGTGCTGCATGTGATCGACGATCTTGCCAGGCCCAAGCCTGCACTGGAAAAGGTGAGTTTGCGGAGAAAGAGCAGCGCCGTGGCTGGACACATTCCCGTTTCCACATGATGCACAACCACAGGCTGAGAGAGGTGCTCGACCCACCGAGGCAAAACGTTCACGACTGGGTCCACAACCTGCTACAGCGCATATTCCAGCAAATTCTGTTGTCTTGCTCTGGTGACGATCAGTGCGTCAGGCTTGAAGCCGTCGCAGGTTCTCAAATTCATGGAGTCTTTCACGTGGCCGAGGCGCATGCCGAGCAGGGGTGTGACAGGAATCGATATGTGGAAACAACAGAGGGTATATTCAAATTGGAAGAAGGCGTATTGGAGTTGCAGCGCGCCTGAAGCGTTGAACATGCATCTTCCGACAGCGCATTTCTTTAGAACCAAGATCCTTCCCACTGGATTGCACAATGGTTTCTGCGAGGCTATAACCACATGTTGTACCGTCATATAGGCCCATTGGAGTACAGCGATGTCGGCCTTTCCATCCGAGGCGGTAGCGCGAGCCACTGAGAACTTCCGTCGGGCTTCGGGTAAAGGTTTCGGCACGGAGGGGGCCCTATGGAAACACCGTGCAATCCTTCACCATGCCGCCTACGTGGCGAGATGGGGGTGGTCGCCCCACACGCTGCCGCTAGAACGCAATCATAAGGCCGTGCTCTAGCTTGGAGGGGACCACCAGAAGGACACAAAGTCTGTAAGCAGAGAAGTTGTAGCAGAGAGCTTCTTCATTTTGCACTATGCTCCATGGCTGAACCTTGACGCGGGGTTGGTGGCGCCGATAGCGCCACCAAACAAGATGCATAAGTTTTTAACCGGCGCCTTCAGAACGACTGATCACAAAGTATCTGGGAACGCCAGGTTTGACGAGTTCGATGTTGCCTGGGTTCGTGATGTCGTGGCTCTCAGATCCAACGGGGGTTGGGGTGCAGCTCGTGTGATTTGTTGTGCGTCGACTTGGGGTGTGCCGTACGCGGCAGTCCAAGGCTTCAGGTGACTAAATATATAAGTACTCTTGGCACAGCACGTGGACAACATCAGGCGAGCCATTTTTGGCTGATATTCTAGATTTCATTGAAGTGCTGACCGTTCGTGGCAATGACGCTGTCTTGTCTGCACTTCATCCTCGTGCGCTTGTTGGGTGAAGGCATATGCCCCAACCATCGTTTGACTTCAACGCGGCTGTCGCCATGACGGCGTCCTCCTCCTCCCTTGCCTTCCCCCGCTATCACCCTCCTTCCTCTCCTCCCACCTCGACCTCCCTGCCATCTCTCTACTTCGACCCCTTTTCCTACCTCCTCGTCATTCCTCCCTCCGCCTTGCTTCAACGTATCTAATTTCTCCCTCCTCGAAACTGTGTCTTTCATTTTCGATCATGTTGCCTTCCCTCCCCCTATCCACGCTTCCCGTCCCGCCCTCTGTCCATCTGCCCCCTCCCCTGGTCCCTTCCCGCTCCTCTTACTCCTCCCCCTCCCTTTTTCTCGGAGCCCCAGAACCTCATTTAGGACCCCAGCGTTGTTTGGGGACCCCAGAGCCACTTGTGGAACCTCAGAAGCCCCCTCGTTTCGACACAAGTCCTAGGGGCCCTGGCCTCGTGGCCTCTCATATGATACGAGAGGTCATCATTCCAGGCTGCAGTCCGATCCGTCGTGACCAAGCCTCGGCCACCCCATCTGCGGTGGTCTGGCGGATGTTTCGGAGACCGAGGCTTCGATGTGTATTATGTGTGGGGTCGGCGCGACAGGCCGCAATCTGGAGCCCTCTACTTGTCCAACCTCGGATCGTTGGTTGTTTGCCACATCGAGCACTTAAAATTTACGCCGTTGCTGGTGTTACTAACTTGGTTAAGGGGTTAGCTAACTAGTTCCTAGGGGGTTGGCTAACAGGTTTAACCCAGCTCGCTGATTTAGCTAGCCCTGGGCGAAACTAAATGCGTTAGTAACCCGATGTAAATTAGTTAGCGAACGGCACTATCAAAGTTTCGCGATCATGTTAGGAAACATGTAGCAACCCGTTACACAAGAGCGCAACTGATGTAACCTCTTGCAACAGTAGGCAAGCCGGCCTCCCTCCCAAGTAGGAGGTCCTTAGGCCGTCTGGAAGCCATCGTGGGTGGTTTTCGAGCGCTCCTGGGGCCGAAAACGCGACCCTGGCCTCGGGGGCTCAATCGGGTTCCTAAAAGGTTTACCCATTTGTCATTCTGTGCCGGGGGAGGCCGGGGGACCAAACACTCTGACATCATATATATATATAGATAGATATAGATATATACACACAAACGCGTGCATGTATATGTATGTATATGTAAAAGTACATACACACATACACATTTACACATACATATACACATACATATACGTGCAAGCTGGTTCAGGATGTTAGACGTCCATTATCGCCCATCGACCAGCAACAGTCATCAAACTACGCCAATCGCCAATTCACTGCCCTACTGCATCACCATCCGAAGTGTTGCTGAAGTCTAGGATCCCACCTCAGGCGCGCATGCATGGCCCATGTTGCCTGTCTGGGCAATGCTCGGCAACTCGGCGCTGAACGTCCCCGCATGAAATGTATAGTCGCTCCGTCGGTAGGCTTAATACCAACTGCGAACAGCTTCACATGACGATCAGTCACCACCAATTAGCTCAGCCCCATCATGCCTGGAGAACACAGAGTGAGAAGGGCCTTCGCAGAACATGAACTCCAACCTGAGAGCAGGCTGCAAATAATGAAGCGTCAATGCATTCCTGTCAAGATGTTTGAGAACACCCCTTGTCTGGTTAAAGAAATACGTGCACACATCTGCAACGCCAGATGCATAACTTCAAAGATGGCGTACCACTACATAGCGTCAGGCGTTAGTACGTGCCGTGCTAACGCCCTTAATTGAAACCTGCTCTCCAGCAACCTGCCGCCGGTCCTCCAGAAAATGACGGACACATAAAGACGCAGCGTAAACATACACAGCATATTCTCTCTCGGTCCCCGCATCCCCCTCCTTATCCTCGAAGGTGCGCCAACTTTCTTGGAGGCGATGTCAGAAAATGTCTCCCCCCCCCGCAAAAAAAAACTGACCTCGCGCGAGGGGGGGGGGATGCATGTGCCTCCGTGGGTTGTCCCAAGGCTTTCCCGTGTAATGTCACGTGCTTGCTACGTGAAGCATTCCGTGGGTTGTTCCATGGCTGGTCCATGGGTTGTTATCTGCATTGTCCCGTGGTCGCCCCTTCGGTTGTCCCATGGTTGTTCCGCGAGGCGCTCTGTGGGTTGTCATAAGGTTGTCTCGCGCGTTGTTCCGTGGGTTGTCCCGTGGTTGCTCCCGTGGGTTGTCCCATGGGAATTCCGTAAGCCGTTCCAAAATCGTCACAATGACACAATGGGGGTGCCCTGTGGTTGTCCCGTTGGTGTTCCGTGTGTTTTTCCTGCGGGCTGTCCAGCGCGAAGTCAGCATGCAACAACCTTACAGTCAACAACCAAATCGAACTGCAGGCAACATTGCAACAGACATGACTAGATCAGTGCAGATCGGGATGCATATCGATTGGTGAATGAGAATGTCATTCGCCATCGGAGCGGGAATTCAATTGCAACAGGAGCTCACCCCGAACTGTAAATCAACATAGATACGAATGCACATCAAACGTGATATTGAAATGCATGCAGGAGCGGTAGTAGAGCCCCAGTCGTTCAAACATGCAAACCTGTGAAAAGAACACATCGGCCTTAAAGCCACGTTGCATTCAGCAGCCAATTCGACATTGAGTTCGAATTTGTATTACGTAGGCACATCATGATACATCTTGACATGTTGGTGCCTCATCTACGATCCTCCGTCTCACTGAGAGGATTGTCGATAAGGAACGGACAGTGGCGCAGCAGCGCAACACAACGCAACCTCAAGCAACGTAATACAAAGCAATTCGCATAACATGTGTGTCTCAATGATCCTGGACCAATCCCCTCGTCAGGCGCTACGCAAATGTATAGCCTGTGCCAGCCTACCCGGCCCGGCCAAGGGAGACGAATGGAAAGAGAGACAGAGGGGGGGAGAGAGGAAACCGTAACGAGCCTGAAACACTGGTGGAGAGGGAAGTAACGGCTCGTTCTACGTCGCATCTTCTCCGCCTTCTCCCCTCCCCATATAGCCCTGCGATTTTACGAAACTAGAAGACTCCCAACGCTGCCAATGGACACTGCAGATAAGCCCCAAACCACCCCCTCGGACGCCTGCAGATGCTTGAATGGCAAAGACGGCGGAGGCAGTCAAAGGCAGCGCAGACCAGACGCTGTCCGAAAATGAATCGATCATCTGAGCTGTGCTTTCCTCCCTCTTCAAGTTGCGAATAAACTCTTGAACTGCCCTCTCTGCGCACCGGGTGGTCTTCTTCTCCATGCATATGAAGACATCGCCATCGCCAACCTGCGGCAGGTTGGCACCAGGTGATCAAATTAGATAGCAGCGTGCCCCCCCTGGACATCTCAGCGGCCGCAGGGGACCAGCCAGCAGCGTAGCGTAGTTCACAACTGCTGATCAACATGGACAAAATTGCTCGGGGAGCTCCAATTCAACAGGCGTCGATTGGGAATTCTGGGCGCACGCGAACTACTCCCCAAATCGGGTACAATGCTGATCATCACATGAGGGTTGATGCCATCCCTTCTGCCAAGCGAGACCCACAGCTATCTAGATTGGGCAGCCTGCAGTTTGAACTGCTGGGCTATAAGCAAGAGGCCATCGCTCCGTTGGTGCGGCCACACGCTTGAAAGATATGAATAATAGACGGGAGGCGATTCTGGGACGCCCGTTACGAGAGCCCTTTCTGGGACGCCACGTACCTTCAGATGTTGTTCCGACGAGATCCTGACACCCTGGATGTACGTGGAGCGGCCCTGGAAGCTACCTACCAATGGCACCCGCAGAGGTTTGTCTTCTTGCTACAGGCATGAGCTGTAGCGGTGGGGCGGATCGATGTCCTATCTATCCGTCTCCTTCCCACTTTCTTCTGTATGACGAACCAAAGGCAGTGGGTGCGACCAGACAGTGGCCCGTCTGAAGAATTGCCCAGCAAGGCGCAATACCCTGGTCAACAGAGCGAAAAGGACAGCAGACATCAAACTGACTGCACTGTTGCGGGCGGTATCGCCTCGATGATTGTATACGAGTGGTAGGTGATCCAATCCGATGGCTGGAAGCTGAAGTAGGCCTGCCGGAGCTCTGAGAACGAAGTGACCTGGCCACCATCATGTCGCCGAGGCTTCTAAAATACATGTTCCCTACAAACATTGCTGGAACATTGCGCCTGTCGCTCAAATAATTGTTGTATCCAACTTCCAGCCTGTCCACTACGCAATGCTTCACAAGTATGTGGCACATGCTGCGCATGGTCTTTGCATGTCGCGTCAAAGCACGGTCATCATAGTCTGGACACACAAGGATGCATACATGCTTCATGCAGCATAAGCATTGCCATACTAAGTGGAACTTGAACCCCCTAGCGGTTAACACGCTGGGGGTATAACGGGCGGCCTTCTTGAGGAGGTGCTTCTCCATCAAATGATCTGGAGGACCTCGGAGACCCCGCGCTGCCACCGCGATCGAAGACCCGAGCCAGCCCACGAACGACGCCGCTGATGGCTTCAGTTCGCTTGCAGCCCAAAACCCACAGCCAACAGGGAAAATAATCGCAACGCCATCGTCCTTTTGATCATCTCCCTTTCGTTGTCGCCGTCGCTTTCTCGTCCACCGCCGCCTGCCCGCCGTTTTCCCTTTCCCGCCTGCTCCCCGTTTGCCTCTGGCCTCCTTCAAAACTAGCCCCTGTTCCTGATAAGCAGCTCACTGTCGCACCACTAGATGTGAACGTAGGCTAGGTCAGGCGTCTCGCTAGTACATATTTACACTCGACTGTCCTTGAGTAAGGCCAACGTGATACAAAGATCAAGAATGGAGGACAAATCATTTTCGAAATTTGGCTCTCGCCTTCGAGCCGCGTTCATAAAATCACTCAGCTACAATGATGGACCCCAATACGTTTTCAAGCATGCGGCCCTCGCCTTAGCCCGCAGCACACATTTTCATTGGAACAAATCAGCAGTTACACTGATGGAGGGTGGTTTCGAGAATGTGGGTCTCGCCTTGGCGCCACGCTCATTCGCTTCAATTCTCCACCAGCTATAAAGATCAATACTGGCTCGTTTTCGAGATGCGCTTATCGCTTGAATAGTCCTCAGCATCTCCTCGGGGTCTATGGCCCGGCGTTCCGATCTGTGCAAAAAGTACACGCGGAAGGCGTCGCCTCTTCAAAAGTGGGCTCTCGCTACTGCGCGACACTAAGTCGAAGAGAGAGCAAATCCTTTTATGATACGTGATATTGCTGGACATTCCCGTGAACTCTATGATCAAAGTTCTTCGGTCCCCTCTGAACTGGAGAGATAGAGGGCGGATCCTTTGCAGTACGGGGTCTCGCCTGGGTTGCAGGCCCAGAGGTCATTCGTCCGTCGTTCAGTAAACCGGGAGACTCGTAGGGACTCGGGGGGCACGGACTTGGGACGGGAGGTTGTGCTGCAGCATCGCTGATACATCCTGGGTTGAATATGGTCGTATGCCTCCTCATGCTCCCATCATTCTCCAGGTTGCAGGGCGACAGGAGCCAGCGACAGCAGTACCGGACATGCCAAGTGAGACCATCCCTCTCTACCAACAGTCCCCTTACCCTCCCAACCACCACGCACACCACACAATGCTATCATGAAACAGATGTGGGTCTGGGTCACCCCCTGAGCGATGACTCCGAGCGCAGCCCCGCGGCCGAATGTGCAAAACCCGCCGACTCTGCCAGCATATGCGAAACGCTGATCCGTTTGACTCGTCATTGTTGTCGTCGTGGTTTCGTCGTCGCTACCCCCTCCCTTTCCCTAGGGCCTCCTTCTCCTCCTCCTCCAGCGCCAGCTCCTCGTTCCCTTTTTTCGAAACTAGGGGAATTGAGAAACGTCGTACTTGACTCGAGAACGAAATTCTTTCTCATTGATTCCTTCCCCGCGGGGGGGGGGCCCAGGCCCGGGGCAGGGGGGTCCCGGGTCAGAATACGCTCCCTCCCGGTGCCTTTTCTCGACACACGGAAAATGAGGAAGAAACGTCGCACTTGACTCGAAGGGAAGCCCTTTCTCATTGATTCCTTCCCCGGGGGGGGGGGGGGCCAGGTCCGGGGCAAGGGGGTCCCGGGTCAGAATACGCTCCCTCCCAGTACCTTTCTCGACACACGGAACATGAGGAAGAAACGTCGCACTTGAGTCGAGGGGAAGCCTTTTCCCTTTCCACCCCGTGAGAGGGGGGTCCAGTGAGAGGGTGTTGGGGGTTCTGGGTCAGAATGCGTTCCCTCACCGTTCCTTTTTTTCGAAAACAATTCTAACCCATGCGCCTCGCGACGCATGCAGTGTCGGCGGCACCGGCCGTAAGGCGTTCAGAATACAAAACTTCGGTAAGTATGATGTCTAAAGAGTTTCGGAGGGACGGGGAATTCTACAAAAACACTTTAGGATAAGCGTGGAAGGGGAGCGGACATCCCAGAGACCAAGCACGAAACAACTGCGCTGGAACATGCGTGTTGTCCGCCTCCTTCCTTGGGAAAGTGGGGTGAGGGCGGGCAGGGTAGGGGCGCGTCGAGTCTTTGCCTGCTATATGTTCCGCTAATCTATCATGGTCAGCGGGCTCCGCCGATGACATGGGGGAGAAGGGATAATGCCGTCAATCATACACTGAGGTAGCACTGAAGGGAGGAGGCCGGCCCGCCGGCCGACGCACCCGCGAGCCGCCCCGACCCCCCAACTCACCTGGCCTGAACATATGTACAGCCACCGGAGCGAACCCCAAAAAACATTTTACCGGTCAACGGTGGTTGCCAGGGGGCGGAAGGCCGAAGAAACCCGACATTCCCCGCCTGAGCTAATATTTCCCAGCTCTGGCCACAATTCCCGTGCACACCTGGCGCACCCGCTCCATGATGCAGTTTGGACCAGCATCGACTATGCCGTACTGGTTCCATTGTACTGCGTCGCCTTTGCCAGCGACTTCTCCAGCCACGAGAATCATCTCATGGGTCTCTGTTGCTCCAGTTCCACTGGCTCTGATCCCTGGAGTAGTTGTCCGGTATATTTTCTCTTCTGCTTGAACTCCAGCCGATTGGCTCACTCTTGCCCTGGCCCTTCTCTTGCGGCCTCGCCTTCGACGTAGGCGGCGGTGGAGGCTCTGGCAAGGTACTTAGCATCCCAGAGTCACTTGTGAACTTGTCGTTGTACTCGTTCAAACTAAACCACTGCCACGTTTCGCTATGGCCAGTGACTCGCTGATGCCGGGATGCATGTAATAGTATCCTTGACTGTCCCCATTCTCATTCTTGTCCTCGTAGTCGACGGTCGCGTCGTAGATGCCGTCCACGGCCGCCCCTGGGCCGCCGCCATCGCTCGCGCGGCCGCCGCCCGGCTCTGCAGCCAGTCTTTCAGGGACAGGCTCACCAATCCAAGATTCACCCGCCCGCGACTGGATTCTGTCATAACCGACCCAGCCAGCATTGGTGCCCGACGCGGCTGGGCCGGCGGGCACCGGTGCATAGGGGGCGGCCTTGTCAGACTGCCCTCCTTCCCGGTGCCTCGGTCTCGATGCTGCGCGAGGGTGTCGCTGAGTTCGCTGTCCCGGAGCGGCGGTGCCGCTCGGGGTATTTTCCTCAACGATTGTGGTTGCAGCAGCTGCTGGAGACTAAGCTGGGATTGTCTCTGTTGGAGAGTCGGCTGGGCCGCTCGCCTCCTTGTTCTCCTTAAGATGATTGGCAATTCCAATGGTATTGTCAGTATTGAAGACTCAAAAAGAGTGTTGGCAAGACAGATTTTGACACTAAAATGAGATTCCGTAGACGTATGCATATTATATAAATTATCCCGGCAAAGCAACCTAACAGCCATGTGTAGGAGCATCTCTGGGTCGAACAGCATCTCGACGAAAAGGCAGCTCTCCCCCCCCCCTCCTCTTCCTCCTCCTCGTCCTCCTCCTCCTCCTCCTCCTCCTCCTCCTCCTCCTCTTCCTCCTCCTCCTCCTCCTCCTCCTCCTGGTGGTCCTCGTTCTCCTCCTCCTGGTGCTCTCCCCCCCCCTCCTCCTCCTCGTCCTCCTCCTCCTCCTCCTCGTCCTCCTCCTCCTCTTCCTCCTCCTCCTCCTCCTCCTCCTGGTAGTCCTCCCCCTCCCCTCCTCCTCCTCCTCCTCCTCTTCCTGGTCGTCCTCCTCCTCCTGTCGTCCTCCTCCTCTTGCTCGTCCTCCTCCTCCTCCTGGGTTCTTCTCCTCCTCCTCCTCCTCCTCCTCCTCCTCCTCCTCCTGGTGGTCTCGGGTTCTCCTCCTCCTGGTACTCTCCCCCCTCCTCTCCTCCTCCTCCTCCTCCTCGTCCTCCTCCTCCTCCTCCTCCTCCTCCTCCTCTTCCTCCTCCTCCTCCTCCTCCTCCTCCTCCTCTCCTCCTCCTCCTCCTCCTCCTGGTACTCCTCCCCCTCCCCTCCCCTCCCCTCCTCCTCCTCCTCCTCCTCTTCCTGGTCGTCCTCCTCCTCCTGGTCGTCCTCCTCCTCCTGCTCGTCCTCCTCCTCCTCCTGCTCGTCCTTCTTCTCCTGCTCCTCCTGCTCCTCGTCCTGCTCCTGCTCGTCCTCGTCCTCCTGGTCTTGCTCGTCCTCCTCCTCGTCGTGCTCTTGCCCCTGCTGAAAATGTGGCCCAGGAATGGGAGTTCTGGAAAGTCGAAGAGCACGAACTTGCCTACAGTTGGCTACGGGCATTCAAAATGTAGCCCGGGAATGGAGTTCTGGACACTCGAAGGGCACGAAGTGGCTTACAGTTGGCTCCGGGCATTCAAAATGTGGCCCGGGAATGGAGTTCTGGGAACTCGAAGAGCACGAAGTGGCCTACAGTTGGCTCCGGGCATTCAAAATGTGGCCCGGGAATGGAGTTCTGGGAACTCGAAGAGCACGAAGTGGCCTACAGTTGGCTCCGGGCATCCAAAATGTGGCCCGGGAATGGAGTTCTGGGAACTCGAAGAGCACGAAGTGTGTGACTGTTGCATCCGGCCCTCCAGAATGTGGCCCGGGAATGGCGTTCTGGGATGTCGAAGAGCACGAAGTGTGTGACTGTTGCATCTGGTTATTCTAAATGTGGCCCGGGAATGGCGTTCTGGGATCTCGAAGAGCACGAAGTGTGTGACTGTTGCATCCGGGTATTCAGAATGTGGCCTGGGAATGGAGTTCTGGGAAGTCGAAGAGCACGAAGTGTGTGACTGTTGGTGAAAAACGAGCCCGGCACCCTGCCGCCCGGCAACTCCCCAACACCTGCCCGGACCCCCCTGTGGAGTGATCTGTGAGCTCTTTTGAGTCAACTAGAAACCTATCAGTCTTCGCTGTTAGGTAAAAAGCATAGCTTCTTGGATGCCTGAGCAATTCCGTCTTACGGTCTCTGGTACGTCATTTCCTGATCCTTTGGTCAAATCATGAAGTAGGTCAGACGACTCGACCGCGGGCCTGATCCGACATTCCAAAAAATAAGCATCTTGCAC